CGACAATAGAAGCGCGCCCGTGCTTCTAGCTTAGCATTACATAATCTGACTTCGTGGTTGTCCGCAAAGCGATGAATGCAGAAGACAACCCTTTCGTCAAGGCCTCTTGAGACAGGGTTTGTGGCGGTTGTCGAAGAACTCAATCCGTCAGGTGATTTGTCATGAGAACTAAATACCTATTACGTATTGCATCAAATCGAAGCTGGATCTTTAGACACGTGACCTCAGTTGGGTACCTAAATTTCAATCTGTCCCCGTGAGTCTGTTTTATGAGAGATGTAATTTTCAAGCCCGTGGGAACAACACCGAATACCGCAGGAAGATTTGGAAGGAATTGACGACCATATTGGGCATGGGTAACTAAATAGGTGACAATATATATCATGAGAGTGGATCAATTGTATTTGGTATGAATGAAAGGGACACGACTGAGGTGATTGCTATATTCCAGTGTCCGACTGTCCGACTTGACAAACGTACCCGCTTTTCACTCAAAGCAGGTCTAGGATGTTTGGAAATGTGCCAACTTGAGTGATGAAATGGCCACCATGTCGGTAAGTGTGTCAAACTAATCGAGGTCCATCGGCTCGGAGCACTCTCGAAAGGCATCTGGTGTCGAATGCTCCTTTTGTGGGATCGCATTCGGTTCAGGCACTCTCGTCTTAGCCAGCATCTTCTGGCTCGAGTAGATACTTGCCCATAGACCATACTCGGCCGCGTTTTGCCGGTAGATATTGAGGTATGTGTAAATATCTGCCTTGTAAGAAATGCCGCGGCCAAAGCCGACCAGTCCCATGCCTTCCAGCTCTTGCAAGACGCGAAGTACGTCTTTGGTGTCGCCAAAGTCCTTTGTATAGATGCATATCAGCCGCGGTTCAGTCCCGCCTTCATCTGTCGCGACTTTCGCTCCAGAACCAAGGCGATTGCTAATGGTCCCTTCGACCACAAGTTTCCACACTCGGCCAAGATCCTCCAGGCTTGGAAAGAGCATCCACTAATATATTTGATCAGCTCTGCGTTGGACCGATAAAGAAGGAAGCTTCACTACCTTTCCCTCAGTCACGTTTGTCTTTTGAGCTAGATCGACAATTTGTTGCTTCAAACGATCGGCTTCTTGGCTCAGCATGCGCGCGACGGCCCCCTTTGACTCCCTAGAATGCTTTTGCTCAATTTCCATCCTCCTCTGCTTCGATTGCTGAAGCAACTCTGCTCCGGATTGGACTAACTCCAGGGTCTTAGCGCGGCCGGAAGTCCGTTGACCGTTACGATAGGGATTTGCAGCCCAGATCCAGGGGCAGACAGCAACAGGAGTAGTCAGGGGTGGTAGACGTCTGACAAAGTCGTCGACAGACTCTCCCAGCTGCCAGGCATCCGGCTTGCCTTGATAAATATTGTGCAAATCGGAAGGCGACATGATCCTTATTCTTATTGAGATCTTTCTCATGTGTTTCCTAGAAGGTTTCGGCTCTATATCTCTTGGAGACTGCAGTCAGGCGTTGCTGCTCTTTGTTGTCGCCTTGGGCTAAACGTTAGCCTTATCTCACAAGTCAACCACTCCACAGCTGATTTTACGCTAATACTATTTTTAGATTTGACAAGACTTTTAACAAGACTTTTAAAACTTCTAACGTTAATTAAGCTAATTAGATATTAATTACTAACAACATATAAAATTATTTATAAAACGTCTAAGAAGAAACAAAGTAACGTAGATACTAAGCAAGCTACTATCTCTATTTGTTATGAATGAAAAAGCAACATGTTGCGATAACCAAGCAGACGTCGCTGAAGCCATGTAAGGCCTGGAGGACTGGCATGATGGGAACACGACAATGCGCGGGGCAGCTTATGTCACAAGTCATGTGGCAACAATCACAGCTAAAAGAGCAGACGCAAACTTAGCACATGCTAAGACTGCGACTAGAAGCTTAGCAGCAACTAAGTTAAGAAATAAAGGGATATATAATAGGTATAGATCTTCTAGCTAGATTTTCTCTTTATAGTTATATTTAAATAAATACTAGATACCTAGATTGTTACATCTTATATAATTATTTAATTACTTTATAGATTACTTACGCACATAAGTGTAAAGTATAGAAGTTTAAACAACTTTATTACTACCTTTTAACAAACTATTATTCTTCTTGTTGAATGGACTCTCTGCTAGCTAGCACTTGGTGTCAGCAAATGCGTACAAGACGGAGAGGTTTGCACAGTGTAAACATTGCACAGGGGTGTTAGGTAACTAGTGTTAATTACTTCTTATTTTTCCTTTGTACAGAGGAAAAAGGGGATATCTAGATGTTCGCGCACAGAGGTTCGCGCACAAGCATTATGTGACATAGATACGTGATCCTGCTCGTGCGTGATCGCTTGTATCTAGGCTGCTACTGTCACGGTTATGTTACAGCTATCCAACCCCTGAGTACCCTAAGGGCTTGGCACGGGGTATATAGGCTCCTCGGCCTCCGTACCTCTGCCTCCAACCCTAAGGTTTACTCTTGTTACCCCCCCTATCCTGCATTCCCTCTCTGTGACCTGTGTTTCCTGCTCAATACCTCTCACATTGTAAACCTTCACATATCCCCTTAGGATGAGCAGTCCGCGCAGCGCAGCTGGAGGAGGCTTAACCCTATTAATTTTAATGGCAACAACGCTTGCTATAAAACAAGCTAAGTTAAACAAGCCTAGGTATCGCAACTAACAGGAGATGCAGGTACTCCTTATCCTTAATTGTCAGCTTGCGAGCCGCCCATCCACTAAGCCGCCCATCCACTAAGCCGCCCATGCCCTGTTATTGATCTGAGCCCTCACCAGCTACTTTGCGTACGCGCACCAATTAAGCGTTCAAGCTCTCAAGCGGATACAGTGGTGGTGGTGGTGGTAGTGGTGGTCGTCGTGGTGGTTAAATGCAGGATTGTTGTCAGCTGCACTAGCGCTAAGAACCTTGTGTTTTAGCGCAAAACACCTTCTGTTTTAGCGCGAAACATCTCCTGTTTTAGCGCAAAGCACCTCCTGTTTTAGCAAGAAGTGCAGCACAGACAGCTTTGTAATGCAACTGCTATTAAGCTCTAGGTGGCTTTAGGCAGTACCTGGGAAGCCTCCGGGCCGTATCCGGATCGCCTCCGGGCCTCCTAGATGGCTTTGGGCTACACCTGGTTTGCCTCCAGGCTGTATCCAGATGGCCTATAGGCCTGCAATTGCCTACTGGCTTTGCAAAGTTGCATTACTGCCAGATGGTCTTTAGGCCGTATCTAGATGGCCGTCAGCCTATACCTAGATAGCTTTAGACCGCACCTAGTCTGCCTCTAGGCTGTATCTAGATTGCCTACAGGCCTCCTAGATAGCTTTAGGCTACATCTAGTTTGCTAGTAAACTATATAAGGTTTAGCAACTAAATTTTTTTAAACTAACCTTAGCTACCTCTTTCTAAGGGCTTAGGACGCGCCCTAAGAAGAAGGGGGATAAGTAGACTATCCCTACTATTAGCCCTATCCTATAAGCTACTACCTACCTTAGCAAAGGCAGGTAAGAAGGAAGGGTGGGACATAGAGGTTCCTCCTTAGGGAGATCTCCTATTAAAGTTAACTTAGTTGCACTAGTACTAGACAGCGTATAGGCTGTTACTAGATAGCCTATAGGCCTTACTAGATTATAGTTACTTTAAGCTGCAGCTTGCAATTACACTAAGCTGTAGCTCTACTGCACAGAGATTTAGACAACATTAGACAGGCCACGCCTAATTAAGTCTAGTTGCATGTACAGCATTACTGCCTAGTGCTATTGCATATGCCTTTGTGTATTCTAGCAAAGCAATGCCTTACAGTTCTTGCTAAGCCTGCTAGCTTGTGCAACCTCCTGTGCTGTACAGCCCCTATAGCAATGCTTACTAGCCTAGGAGCTTATAGCTATAGCAATGTACGCCCTTATAATAAGCTTAACACCTTATTTGTAAAGATGTAAAGCGCTTAATCCCTGCTTTGCATAGTTGCGCTAGAAGTTAAGCCTAACGTCCCTTAATTACACGTATCTAGCACTGTCGCTGCGAGGTCTGGCCACCTTGTGGTAGCAGTGCAGAGCCGCGACACCAGGTTGCTGTGTCTACCTGTTATGTCGCTAGCCTACATAGTTAGCATCCTGTCCTACCTATAATGTTTGTGTTGTTATCTATCTTCTTTAGCTCCTTTAACAATTAACCTCTAGCTAGAAGAGCTCTTAATGTTAAATTTAGGCTTGCCACTGTAAGGCTGTCTAGCTCTATGCGCTTACTAAGCACGTGCCGTACGAGCTGAGTACGTCTAGCGTCCTGCTATCCATGCGATAGCTCTCTGCCTAATATGGTATGCCAGAGAGGTGGGGAAACACGCGTACAGCTTAGGGAGCTGTCACCCACGCTCGCACCTGACTACCAGCATGGCAATGCTCCTAGCAAATAGCAACTCCCCTTAAGCATTTCGCGTACAGAGAAAGAACTGGCGGAACACCGCCCAGTTCAGCATTTAATTGCTGTAACTATACACTAGGGCCCATGCGGGCTTGGCATGGTATCTTCAAACGCTCAGCGCGCGGAGATAGCCCGGTGCGGGAACAGTACATCTATAGATGCCCTCTAATGCCTGCGGGTATTAACTACCTTAGGACCTTTAAAAGCAGACCTTAACTAAATAGTAAAGATGTAAAGTTGCAATCTTAGGTTGCTTATATTTAAGTAGGCTGTTTAATTGCAGGCTATCTGCTTTATTTAGCCTCTAAAGGTCTACTAGGCTTAACCTAATAAGAACGTCCTACTGCAGCACCTGCGGCGCCAGCAATAGCGTTCTAAAGCACCTAGTTGCACTTCTCCTAACATAGTTTTTCCTCACTAAGGTTTTCCAGAGTTCAGTCACCAAGGATGGGTACTGCCTAGGCGTGACCCGTACGGTCACCACCGCAGGTCCGCCTATGGCCAGTACAAGCTTCTACTACTTGGCTAGCGTTCGATTTAAATCCTCCTAGCTCTGTAGCTAACTACGTACTCTTTTTTTTTTTTTCCTACATAGTTTTTAATGAGGCTAGTCACACTACTTTTGTACATAGAATTTGACACTACCTATCCTTTTCTAGGTCTCGGGACGAGCCCTAAGAAGAGGGGAGGCTATGTCACGGTTATGTTACAGCTATCCAACCCCTGAGTACCCTAAGGGCTTGGCACGGGGTATATAGGCTCCTCGGCCTCCGTACCTCTGCCTCCAACCCTAAGGTTTACTCTCGTTACCCCCCCTATCCTGCATTCCCTCTCTGTGACCTGTGTTTCCTGCTCGATACCTCTCACAGCTACGCTACTGCTGCGTACAGACACTAGCAACTTTTCTTTTTATCTAAAGAGTTACCTTCTGTACGCGTTACCTTCTTTTTGTCTGTGTAGGTCTATCTAATTACATTCTACCTTTACTCTACTTTATTTATTAGGACTTGCCTTAGTAATGCTGTGCATTAAAATAGGCTAGTTATACTATATAAATAGCTTTTTTTTTCTTTATTCTTTACTTTCTAAGCCTTGCTGTACAATCCCCTAGCTCTTTTTTCTTTTTATATAGTGCTAACAGTAATAGATTCTTATAATAAGAAAAATAAGTGTGTACAATATAAAAAAAAAATAAAATAAAGAAAAATAAGCTTTATATAAAGGCGTTGTTAGTCTAGTTAGTCTAAGGCATCTTTGCGCACAGGATCTAGCTAGTCTACAGATGCTTCTATCTAGATAGAGAGGCAGTTAGTTAGGACTAATAATTAAAAAGCTTAGTTTAGTGTTTTCTTTATACATGCATTTACTAGGTTATTTTTACTATTAATTTACTTTATTTTAGTAATTTCCCTTTTCTTGTATAATTTATAAAGTAACATAATGTTAATTATAAGTTACTTTTTACTAGTAGTGCTTAGCTTAATAAGGTAATTATATAGAAACTTTAAATCTATGTAGATTACTACTAGAATTAGTAGTAGTTTAAGTATTTATATAATTTACTATAAAGTTATACTAAAGGTAATTATATTATTAAACCCTCTAACTATTTTATATAGTTTACTAGCAAGAACACTCCTAGTTACTCTTTTACACTTAGTAGAATTCTAGTATATAATGTTACTGTTAAATGGGCTCTGACAGCTAGCTGCTTATGGTATAAGCACTTAAGTAGCAAGAGTAAGAGTGGTGTACAGTGTGCACAGCATACAAGGTAGGTAAAGTAAGAGTAACATGTTTCTAGTTCTATTACTCTTGTCTTTCCTCTGTACAAAGAAAAAAAGGGATATTTAGATGTTTACACACAGAGGTTTGCGCATAAGCATTATGTAACATAGATACGTAATCCTGCTTGTGCGCAATTGCTTGTATCTAGGCCGCAACGCTGCTGCTGCGTACAGACACTAGCAACTTTTCTTTTTATCTAAAAAGTTACCTTTTGTATATGTTACTTCTCTTCTGTCTATGTAGGTCTATCTAATTATGTTCTGCCTTTACTTTACTTTATTTATTAGGACTTGCCTTAGTAATGCTATGCGTTAGAATAGGCTAGTTATGCTATGTAAATAGCTTTTTTTTTTTTTATCTTTTACTTTCTAAGCTTTACTGTATAATCCCTTAGCTCTTTTCTTTTTTTATACAGTGCTAGCAGTAACAGATCCTTATAATAAGAAAAATAATTATGTATAATATAAAAAAAAATAAATAAAAATAAAAAAAAATAGGCCTTATATAAAAGTGTTATTAGTCTAGTTAGTTTAAGGCATCTTTGCGCACAGGATCTAGCTAGTCTACAAATGCTTCTATTTAGACAAAAAGGCAGTTAGTTAAGACTAGTAATTAAAAAGCCTAGTTTAGTGTTTTCTTTATATATACATTTACTAAGTTATTTTTACTATTAATCTACTTAATTTTAGTAATTTCCCTTTTCTTATATAATTTATAAAGTAATATAATGTTAATTATAAGTTACTTTTTACTAGTAGTGCCTAGCTTAATAAAGTAATTATATAAAAACCTTAAATCTATGCAAATTACTACTAAAATTAGTAGTAGTTTAAGTGTTTATATAATTTACTATAAAGTTATACTAAAAGTAATTATATTATTAAACTCTCTAACTATTTTATATAGTTTACTAGTAAGAACACTTCTAGTTACTCTTTTACACTTAGTAGAATTTTAGTGTATAATGTTGCCTAGTATTTTAAAGTAGTTGCTTTACTTTATATAGTTCTTATTACTTAATATAATTAAAAATTCTAGCTATAAGCTAAAGTTTTTATTATTAGTAAATAATTTATTTATAAAGATAAACAGCTTTACATAATTAAGCTATAATAGTAGAAAAGTAAGACTACACTTACTATTATCTATCTACTATTAGATTTATGCGTTAAGTGTGTTAATATTATTATATAAAAGGTCTATAGTTTATGCAGTAATAGATAAGTTAAATGCTACCTTTAGTTAATATACAGATGCAATGTATACCTCTTTTGCACATTACTTAACATATTATTATGCAGCATTCTTGTCTTCTAAGTTAATTATATAAAGGTAGCTTACTTATCTTTTTTAAGTAAAGACTACTATGTTATGCGTAAGCTTAATCCTTTTACTATTAAACTTAATAAGTTGCTTCTTTACTAGAATAGTTTTACTTTTTATGTAAAACTTTACCTTTTATAGTTTTTTTTTTTCTCTTTACACAAAATTTTTTATTATAATACTTAAGGTGTTGTATAAATGCTTCTAGTTATTTCTAGAGCCTATGTTATACA